TTATTTCCTTCATTGTCGTGAGTTATGGTGACAGCCAAATACTGGAATTTTCTTACACATTCAAGATCGTGTGTCCATAAACTTATTGTGTCCTATTATATCTCTGCCTGCCCTATGGCTGAGGTGTATATATTTCATCTCATCTTTATTGATTTTTAGACTTTTAGACATTTTTTATTCTTTTTCACTCTTCACAAACATTTCCTTTGCTTTAATTCTACTACTACCTGCAGGCTCTGTGTCGTTATCATATCGTAGAATCTTTCGGGAACATTGGTCTGAGAACACCTTCAGATTTATGTTAAGTTCTTTTATTGCCATATATTACGTATTCATCATCATTCAATCTTCGCTTATCTACTGCTGGACATAGATGTACCTCATAATTTTCCATCTATTTCGATTTTGTGCCTCTTGCATCCAATTCCTATGACAACATGTTAGATCGTCAGTCCAATGTGTTGGTGGACGACCTCTGCTTCGGTAGGCATCATCTCTTAGTCTCCATTCCAGGATCCGCTTTGTCCATCTATTATCTGTCATTCGAGCCACGTGACCTCCCCAGTTCCATTTCAGTGTTGCTACTCTCTCTACTGCATCAGCCACTCCTGTTCTTTGTCGTAGCTGGCGATTTGGGATCTCGTCTCGTAGTGAAACGTCCAACATAGCACGCTCCATCGCTCTTTGACACACACAGATCTTTTAAACTGTTCTCCTTGTCATAGTCAACGTTTCCGCACTGTAAGTCAACACTGGCAAAACACAGTTTTTCTTTTAAGGCATATTGGTATATCAGACGATTTGAAAATATGGTTCAGCTTGCCGAAGGCTGCCCAAGTCAGTCTTATACGACGGAGAAGCTCAACGGTTTGGTTATCCTATATTATCCTTTATTATACCTAGGTCATGAGATCCGCATAGGATCTCATGACCTAGGTATTTATAGGCCATTACCTGGTCTATGGATCTTGTTCCTACGCATATATCATCGCTGATTACAAGATTTGTCTTCATCTGGGTTTTAGATATATTTATTTCAATCCCCTTCTAGCGAGGAAAGGTAGAGCTGATTAAAGGTTCTTTGGCCTCATCTATCCTATCAGGTATTAGTACAATATCATCTGCAAACCTTAGATGGCTAAGCTTTTCTCCGTTTATGTTTAGCCCTTGTCGGTCAGTTTTGCCCTTTTACATATATATTCCAAAAGCGTAGTGAACCCTTTCGGCAATATGGTTATAACGTATTAATAATAGAGAAATATTTCATGATATTTGATCAAATAAAAGACAGATATTGAGCACAGTTTATTAATTAAATATTGCCCGAGAACTTTTGCTTCCTAGAGCATCTTCAGTTTCATTTCGTCAAATTTGGCCTATCCAATAATCTTTGAGAATGTCATTAACATAAAATTGTACATTAACACTACACGATACAAGGACAAACAGTTAAAATTTTTTAAAAAACGGTGAAGCTACATGTTGATTGGCATCAGGCTCTGCAATTGTTGTTTTGATTGGTACGGCGTTCGCCAGACGTAATTGGCTAAAGAGTGTGCGGCGGCTCATGTTATCCAAACCTCCTGTGTGCTACCTTCAGTTATATTTGCGATGGAAAAAACGTCGTGTTTCATCCTTACCAAATAAAGCCATCCCGGTACAAACGTTTTCGTTGGTAGAACTGGAAATCCATATTCGTCGGATCAGAAATACTAGCACTTTTTAGGGCACGTACTCTGATTTGACGAATAATGATTGCTGATTTTGCAGGGTGTGCCCGATTGGTAGTGTACGCCATTCAAGCTCTGGCCGGTCCCTGTGGGATTCATGATCTTTCATTCATGAGAAATGGAAGGAAAGTCTCCTGCTACCGATACTTAAAAAGGAAGACTCAAGAAATCCTGAAAATTATAGAGCCATTACTCTGATGAATAGTACATTAAAATTGTTAACGACAGTCTTAAAAAATAAACTTGAGGAAAAAGCGAACATGGCTGATAACCAACAAGGCTTCCGGAAGAACCGCAGCACAATAGACGCAATTTTTATTATCAGACAAATAATAGAAAAGTCTATTGAATATGTAAAACCCACATACATATGCTTTGTAGATTTAAAAAGTACTTTTGATAGGTTGAAGTGAAATTACATCTCAAATTTATTACAAGCTGAACAAATAGACCATCAGATAATAACGAAAATTAATCAAATTAACGAAAATAACAAGACCAGAGTTATAATGCCAACAGGAGAAACAGAATGCATAGAACTAAAAAAGGAATCCACCAAGAAGACTCGCTCATGCTTATTTTTATTCAATATGGTTAATGTTATCCAAACCTCCTGTGTGCTACCTTCAGTTATATTTGCGTTTGAGTAAACGTCGTGTTTCATCCTTACCAAATAAAGCCATCCCAGTACAAACGTTTTCGTTGGTAGAACTGTAGAAATAATAGGAAAGTCTATTGAATATGGAAAACCCACATACATATGCTTTGTAGATTTAAAAAGTACTTTTGACAGGGTGAAGTGAAATTACATCTCAAATTTATTACAAGCTGAACAAATAGACCATCAGATAATAACGAAAATTAATCAAATTAACGAGAATAACAAGACCAGAGTTATAATGCCAACAAGAGAAACAGAATGCATAGAACTAAAAAAAGGAATCCACCAAGGAGACTCGCTCAGCCATTTTTATTCAATATGGTGATGAATCAAATAATTCACGAAGTAAGAAAACGACACGGATACCACATGGAAGCGCATAAAATCAAGATACTATGCTATGCCGATGATGCAGTACTAATTGCTGATAACGAAGAAGACCTACAAAGGCAGCTCCACACCTTCAATATCACAGCAAAAAAACTTAATATGAGAATATCAGTAGAAAAAACTAAATGTATAGTGATCAATAAAGAGCCGCGTAGATACAAACTAGAAATAGACGGCAAAATTGTAGAACAAGTAATGAAATTTAATTACTTAGGAGTAGAGATCACTAGTGACAGGGATATAAGAACAGAGACCACAAGGAAAGCATGAAAAGCAATAGTAAGTGGTTGCCTCCGAGAAAGCATATGGAGAAACAAATATCTGACCACGGAAAGCAAAAGCGAAAACAAGACAACAGTAAGACCAATCCTAACATATGCATCGGAGACAAGGACCAATACAAGAAGTATAGGCGAACAATGCAAAATTCAAAATATTAACAGGTGGATAAAAACAAGCAAAAAACGGGAACAAACATATAAACCGAATGGGACCAGACAGATTAGCGAACATCTGCAAAAACAACAAGCCGTATAGCAGACGCCCCATTGGAAGGCCGCCAAAAAGGTGGAAAGATAATGTACAGTCAACGGCGACTGAAACAGAATAAGAGGCAGACAAATAGGAGTAATCCTAGTCACACGAAGAAGACGAAGATGATTCCAATATTCAGTATACAAATCACTGTTACTTAGTTTTATACTTAATTACTGTGAAATTTACTTCAATAATTACTATTTAACTAGCAAGATAAATGATTCCCTAAAACACGTGTTCTCGCTTGTTAGTCAAACATAGAATATACTTGAATACTTGATTTTTGTAGATTAATTATTTATAAATTCATTTTTGAAGTTATACTTCTCTACACATGGTCGGCGTTGGAAATTTGCACGAGAGTGAATCTGTGAAACCATTGTTCCTTTTGTATATATATTTAATACTATATAGGTAATATTGTATATATATATATATATATATCTATATATATATAATATTATATATATATATATATAATATATATATATAATATAATATCTTCTTCTTCTTTGGGTGCCGTGTCCGTATTCAGACGTTGGCCGTGATCAGGTTTACGATTTCCTGAAATCTTTCTCTGTCTGCTGCTGCGCGAAATAATTCTACTGTGGAACGACACCATTGTCTAATATTACGCAGCCATGAAAGTTTCTTTCGACCAATGCATCTCTTTCCTTCCACTTTTCCTTGTATTATAAGGTGAAGTAGATGGTATTTAGGACCTCTAATTATATGGCCGAAGTATTCTGTTTTTCTCCTCTTTATGGTATTTAATATAATATAGGTACATTAAGATTATTATTTATGTGATATGTTTTGTATTATTTATTAGAATGTTCATAATTATTTTAGGCTTTTGTATTTCAAAATAATCACTGTATGACAGACAACTATCAATTTTGAAATCCGTTAGTATCATGTCTAATTGGCAAATCTTTCACGTGTTTAGTTCATACGCTGATGTACGTAAGTTCGAATCTCAATATGAATTTACTTTTTTATTTTCTTGAAATATTTAAAAACCTAACGTTAATGTTATTAAATATATGTAATATACGCAAAAATGCTAAATTTTAAAATAAAACGAAAATTTACAACATAATCCGAGATGTTGGTTTTTTATTTTTATCTTCGTAAAGTAAGTTATGTATATTGTATTTTATTATATTTGAATAATGTTGCAGTGTATTTTATTGTAATTTTTATATTAATAAACAAAATAAACAATGAATTTTACTGCAGTGTATGTGTAATTTTTTTGCATTTAACTCCTTTTTATACATATATGAAAATAAAAATATAGATTTTTATTAAACATTGATACAATCCTTCATTTACTATACTCCTATTACCGGTCAAACGTTTATATACAGCAAACGATGCACCATATACCTATATAACTAATTCTTTTTCTCTTTCTGCTCTCTCTCTCTCTCTCTTACCTATAGCATTAAATATGTAATAATTGTCCAGATTGACTCCCATATAAATTTGTAATGGCGAATTCGTGTATAGAAGTATAACATCTACCGGCAATCCCACTGGACTGCCACACCAGTTTTATTTTATTGGTTTTTAACTCCCACAGTTGCTTACAACTTAAATAAAACCACAATTGTTATTTTTTATTTAGCTGTGTATTGTATCATTTCTCGTTGTCATTTACAATATGGGGTAAGAGTTCAGGAGGTTAAGACCGCATAAGTTATAACCACGGGCAACTCTGATGTAACCTTGTTCACCCCAGCTAGTTCCCATGAGTTCTTAAAGATGAATAGATCTTTAGTGTATCCAACAGCAAGGACGGCGTGGTTGAGAGTGTCGTCACAATTTGTGTTGTTAAAAATTCCACCACCGTAGAACTGCCACAAATTACCATTGACAGCCACCGATACTGGACCTGCACTAGCTGAAAACATCTTAATATTAGTGACATGTACAAGTTGTCAAAATCAAAATTAATTTAAATAAATTTACCATAATACTAATAAGTTTGGTCAATTTATAAACATTTTATAGATCCGAAACACAATTTGCGGATTGGGTTACGTCAAAACAAATATAAAATATAATTTCCATTACAATCAATTTCCATTTAATGCCATATTAATATTCAACTAGCATGAGACAATCTGATCTGAGATATTGGTAACACCAATAAAATAAAATAGACTTAGAATCAACATTTACTTTAAAAAATTAATAAACTTACCAACAGCAGAAACTAGTGCATCTTCAGTTTCATCAAGTTCTACGTAATCGCTGATAGAAGAGAGTTGTTTGTTCTGTACTTTCTTACAGATACCATCTCTCGCGGTGTATTTATATTGAGTTTCTGATGCAAGACCATTATCCATAATATAGTCAAAAGCATCTGTCATGAAACCTCCCGTACAACCAACGTTTACATAATTACAGTCTATCAATTCTTGTTCACTGAGAGGAACACGTTGATTTTTGTGGATAGCGAGTTGACCTTCAAATGGACCCGGTCTAAAAATATTAAAACAAATATTTAGCAGCAATAATTAAAACTTAAAGTATTATACTTCATATTTAATTTTATTAACCAACTGCCAAAACTAGTGACGACTCTTAAAGATAAAAAAAATTAAGTCATCATGTTGTACGTCCGTGCGATACTCTTAAAGACTAATAGCTAGAATCTTCAAACTTGGGTAAAAGTTCTTATCTATAATAAGTAAATCTTTGTGACTCATGATTCTTCTTCGTCAAATTTTTTGAACTTTATTACTTTTATTATTAGATAATAACGTTTCAAAAGCTTTAACTTAATTATATGATTAATACTTACGGTACTGAAAGCCCAGCATGCTCCACAGATTCCTTGATCTTTGACTTCCAAAACAGCAGTTTCTCTCCAATCCACCTCTTCCGCAGCTTGGAAATTGGGATCAACTACGTGTTTTTTAGTGAAGGATTGTTTTGGCCTGTTAGCCATCTGAGAGTCTAACATAGCTTGGAATTCAGCGCTCGACCAATCGGCAAATTTGTTGACAGCCAAGTAGTAGGTTTCTTTTCCGTTTTCGTATTTAGCATTGTGTTCGTCGATTTTGCGGAGGTTCTCTTGGAAAACAGCGAAACGAAGTTTGTCCTCAATAACGTTGTAAGATTTGTTATGTGTTGCCTTAAATTAAAAGAAAATTAATAACGTAATTAAAAAGGGTTTTATAAAATAATTGATTTCAGGGGGTACACCAACGACACCAAAAAATGTATCACTAAATTTTAAAGTTTGACATATATACAGAATACCACCGGTATATACCAGTATATATTTAGATATTCAGTTTAAAATGGCAAAGATGACAAAGAAACCATTAATGTTCAATTAAGGATATTTACTTTAAATGGAACATATTAAATTATCGCTGTTTAGAATCCTTAAATTTTTTTGAGAGGTTGTTTTTTGTGGCACGTACTGGAGACACTTTGGAGCTTTCTTTCTGGTCAGACTTGCGGTTATGTTTTGTTTAGAGGCCATTTGAGAGAGTGTTGATATGTTCGTGTGGTTTGAGAGTTTTTTGGATATTTATTGGGTTTTCAAATTTCTAGTTTATTTTTGAGGTCCTGTTTTGATGCATAATTTAATTTTATTATTTCGATTGTGAAAAGATGTTTAAAATCACGAAAATATTACTTAACTTATTACCTTGAAACTGGTCCATTTTTCAAAGGCAGATAGGTTGGCACTTGTGGTCACAATAAGGGCAGCAGCAAGGATCAACAGCTTCATTCTGATTTTTCTGAAAACAAGTATGGAACAACTGATGTAGAACAAGTGTGGAAATAAGTTGTGTAGTCAGCTCAAGGTCTCAATTGATACACACTTTTATAATACAAATATTTCACCTGGAGCTAGTACAATATAATGAATATGTTGCCTGTATGAGTCTATTTCTAAATAGGTAAAAAAAATAAAAATAAGACTTTACATGCAATTAATTTATTCTACCAATATATAACAATTTTGCCTATAATAAATGTGTGCAAAAGATTTCAAATAATTTATTTCAAATATTTTTAATGAAAAGATATAAACAAGTGTGCCGAATATAAAATGAACCATTTTTTTTTAGAATTCGAATCGAAATAGCTTCTAAGAAAATTAAAAGAGACCTCCATAAGTCAAAAAAAGTAACAAAAAAAATAAGAAACCAATGTATTGCACCCAACCAAAATAGTGTTTAGATTAAGTTAATATACTATATGATCTTCATGGGTTCTTCAGGAAACTCATGATCAGACGCTTAATGTCTTGCTGGCATGGTAATACCTCAATTTTACTATGAGTAATGCTCACACGAGCCTGGCAGTATGCGGACCTCGCAATAAAATTGCGGAAAGCGTGTTGTGCAAAGGGTTCAAAAATAGGTTTAAGAATAATATCGCGGTAGTCTGTTACATTTAGAAACCGTTCCAGAAAAACAAAATTAGTTCTTTCACCACGAATGATGATACCCCATACCATTATATTGCAGTTTTGCTATTTATGAACCTCCTGAACTATGGCCAATATTTCAGCATTACCAGATTTTCTTTAAATTTTTGTCCGTCTTGTAATTGGTGCAAATCCAAATCGAGACTCATTTGTGAATAAAGTATAGGCCCACTCATGTCTAACCTAATTTACGTGTTTTTGTATCAAATGAATTAGGTGAGTGCGATTTTCTCTGGAAAACACAGGCACTCTCACAGGTTTTTGAACATTTAACCCTACTTCATGCAGTCTATTTCTAATATGTTTTCCCACTTACAAATACCTGATGGGTCTCTTACAGTCTCATTTGTAATTATGATGCAGTTAAAGTGCAATCTTGCAAAAGCCTTCTTCTTCTTCTTTTCGTGCCACTCCTAGCGGAGATTGAAAATCATCATGGCCACTGCGACTTTGTTAGCAGCGCGCCTAAAAAGTTCAATCGAACTACACCCGAACCATTCACGTAGATTACGAAGCCACGATATTTTTTCTTCTTCCCACACTTCTTTTGCCCTTAATTTTGCCCTGCATGATGTTTCTTAAAAGTTCGTACTTTTCTCCTCTCACAATGTGCCCCAAGTATTCCATTCTTTCTAGTTTTTATCTCATTTAGAATTTTGCATCTTTTGTCCTAAGTTTGGAGGTACTTGCGTGTTAGTGACGCGGTCCAGCATTCGTATTCGTAACTTTATATTCATATTCACGATTGCAAAAGAGTTTGCGCATTCTATTAAAGACTGATCTAGCGATTTCTATTCTACATCTAATCTCTTTTGTTTGATCAGTATCGTCTGTGTTCCAAAGCACCTAGATATTTATAACAGGGCACACGCTCAATCGTTGTATTGTTATTACAAGATTAGCTCTAATGTTCTTTGATTTCGTAATTACCATAAATTTAGTTTTTTTTTTTTCAAATTAATTTTCAAGCCGTAACTGTTACAGTATATATTGAGACTTTGAACGAGATGGTGTAGTTCTACTAGCGTTCCGTTAGGAGAAACTGTATCGTCAGCATACCTTATATTGTTGATCGTCTCACCATTTATTATACAGACCAAGATCTTCTTCCTCGAGTGCTTGTTCACAGATAGCTTCACTATACAAATTAAATAAAAGTGGCGATAAGATACATCCCTGCCGGACTCCTCGACGGATTTGAATTTCTTCTGTTAGTCTGCCCTCAACCTTGACATTTGCCTGTTTGATTCCAATATAGATTGCATATAATTGAATATCTCGGTTTGTCTATATTTTTCTTATTAGAACTTGTATTAGTGGTGCATATTGTACTTTGTCAAAGGCCTTTTCGAAATCAATGCAAAGCCTGCAACCTTATAAAACGGGTAGTTTAGTCTGGTTGGTTATCCTGGTACGGTCTCTATCACGTTGTGCACACATCACCAGTTTCTTAATATTGTTCTAAAGCTATTTTCTTGTGGCATTTTAAAGTAATTACTATTTAAATGGGGATAAGCTACAATTAAAGGTTAAAGTACGTTTATTGACGTTTCAATTTCCAATTCGGAATTGGTTCTCAAAATACAAACATTAGTATAATTTACTAATGCAAATGACAAAAACGCATATTGAAGTTTTGTTAATTTTTTATATCCATTTTTATCAGCATTACCGTCAAGTTGGTACAATAATTGACATAAACAATAAAAACAATAAAACATAAATTTATTTTTTTGTATTTGCAGCTAACATTGATTTAAAGCTATAATATAGGTGTCCCCTGGATTGTTTTGATGTGCGTATTACAAGCTTACAAGGTTTATCTACGGATAGGACTGAATGTGGAATACAAAAAACTCCAAATGAAAGATGTTTTTCTTTAATTCAATATATCTCACAATGAAGATATTGAAAATTTCGTCAGTTCTATAGTGGTTTAAAATACACAAGAAATTAATCAAATACCTGGAAGAAGTAAAGAGGCGAATTAAAAGAACATGTCTCAATTGTTAAAGCACCTTAAATAAACAAACAAATGACTCATATGCAATATTAAATTAGTAATGATCTTCATGTAGAACATAATATTCGAAAATTACAAAAGAAAAAGGAGCTTGACTATGGTTGACAACATGTTTTTAAATTTGAAAATAAAAAAATAAAAATATGTAAAAAAAGAGGAACTGTTAAAACAGTAGAATGCGTGAAATATCTTACCTTTTTACACAAGAACAATAGAATACAACGTGTATATTTTAATAAAGGGTATAACGTTTATAATAAATTTTTAATCTTGGTACTCTTGATATTGATAAGTGCAACCAAAGGAATTCCAAACTGAAGCAAATATTTTGCATACAATAAACATAAAGATACGCTGTAAAGACATGTCTGTAATACAATTATCAAATTAAGGACACCGGGAAATACACGACATTTAAAAAGCTTTTGAGAAAA